CTTTCTGTATTTCATGCTATATCTACTGTCTTCTTTTATAGGTTGTTTCATATTTTTTTTATTTTATAGTATTCTAAAGAACACCTTTCCATATTTTCATATTTGCAGGTGCTATTTATTTTCCTTGAGCTTGTAGAAGGAAGGAGCTTAGTGTTAGTATCAGAGGGATGAATTGATATAGCAGGGAATTTGCTCTCTTACTTTTAGCAGGCATGATAACTTGCTCAGAGCACCATAAATAAATAGAATAAAACCTCATTACCTAACATTCACTGAAAGGGTAAAATTTGAGTAATATACAGCTTTTGAAGACTGGCATTAAAAATGCATGATGAAACTACCTTTAATGGATCTGTGATCTCATTAATGTGCTGCCTACATGCTGGCCATCATACTCATCTCTCCCCACCACAGTATTAATCTTTCTTTGCTTTCTTCCCAGGATCTGATAGATGAGCTTTCATTTTGTCTTTCCTGTAACTAGGCCTCCATGTACTTTCTGTTCATTTCAACATCATGTTGCAGTGTCTGGCTACCCTTTAGGTGCTGTCTTCATCCATTAGAATGTAAGCACCTTGAGGGAAGGGATTGCCTTACTTGTATTTTGTTATCAGCTTAGCAAAGTGCCTAGCACATAGTAAGTACTTAATAAGCATTCTATCTATCTATCTATCTATCTATCTATCTATCTATCTATCTATCTATCTATCTATCTTTCCATCCATCCTTCCATCCATTTATCCCTCCTGATCCATTGATCCTACCCATCCAGCATACTTTCTTCTATGTCTGCTTATAAAATTGCCACCAGTCAGGTCCATTCAATGTGATGGTGGCCTTCCTTGTGTTCTCTTGACATTATAAAAAAAACCCAATGGAATGTGTGAGCTAACAAAAGGAAAAAAAATGAACAAATGTTGACCAGTAGTGGTCTTTTGGGAACATGGCTTAATGAACAGATAGGAGTGGTTGAAAATCACATAATAATCGTTTGCAAATGAATGAGTCTTCCAAAGTACCTAAAGACCATCTCCTTCAGTCTCCAAAGAACTTAAGTGTGGGTTCCCCAGAAGGGCAGTGGAGAGGTATGTGAAGAGCAAAAGTGTAACATATCACCAGCTCAATTATTCAAGAGAGGTGAGGTAAACGGTGTCATCAAATTCAAATAGAAATGGGGTCACTAACCAATGCATAAGGATCCCTGTGGGCCACATAGAAACTTAGAAAATGACATATTAATATTATCTATCTTCTATTGTATTTTTATTTATTTTGTTAAATACTTCCCAGTTACGTTTTTATCTGACTTGGCTTGCACTCAAAAATGCTGTCAACCGAGGGCAGCTAGGTGGTGCAGTGGATAGAACACTGGCCCTGGATTCAGGAGGACCTGAGTTCAAATATGGCCTCAGACACATAACAATTACTAGCTGTGTGACCCTGGGCAAGTCACCTAACCCCATTGCGTAGCCAAAAAAAAAAAAAGAATGCTATCAGCCTGCCTGTGGTCTGTGTGTTTGCCACCTCTGAGATAAAGGACCTCATTTAAGATGTGTGTGATTGGAAAGAAAGTTGTCTGGCAAACAATAAGCAATGACTATGGATACAGAGTAGACTGAGATTGGACCTGCCATTGCGCTGGTAGAGGGAACTCCTCAGTGAGGAAACTCCTTCTACCAGTGCAGGTTGGTACATTCTTGGCAACCAATCCTCTTAATTACTTACTTGGAACACTGTGGGGGAGGAAAGTGTAAGTGACTTGCCTAGGGTCACCTGATATGTGTCAGAGGGAGCACTTGAACCCTGGTCTTCCTGGATTCAAGGTTAGCTCTGTATCGACTATGCCACATTACCTCAACCAATGAATTGCCCTTGCAATCCATTAGTATCCATACAAGATCTAGAGAAGTAAAAGTATGTAAGATGGTTCCTTTACGGAGGCCTTATTGGAAGATATGGACAAGGCACCCAAGATGAGAAAGATGGATGGGCTGTGAGACAGAACTTTGTAGAGAGTACCCACAACAATTCCATCAACAATCCATTGAGGAAGGGCAGCTAAGTGGCACAGTGAATAGAGCACTGGCCCTGGAGTCAGGAGGACCTGAGTTCAAATCCAGCCTCAGTCACGTAACACTCACTAGCTGTGTGACCCTAGGCAAATCACTTAACCCCAATTGCCTCAAAAAAAAAAAGAATAGTCCATTGAGGAATCTGAGTAAGTACTGATACATACTTCCTTGAGGTCTTGTTTATATCTTTTACCTATAACAGTGATCAACTGTATGCATCCCAGTCTCAGCATCAATCATAACAACTTCTTATTTTGGGTAGTGTGAAATAAGGAGGCTTTCCTATACATTTGGAGCATACCCCTGGTCTTCCAGCTAACCAGTCCTCCACCTCTTCAGTCCCCCTTACTCTGAAGACTCCAATTAAACATAAAATTTACTTTCAGGTTCTAAGTAATCCTCTTGCAGTATTTTATATGGTAAATGTTTCACTGAGGTATTTTTCTTTCTGCTTTTATTGCTGGAATTATGAGGCTGGTTTTCAGGCCTCCACTGTGTAGTGAAATCAGATTTACCTGGTGTATTACATGGCTCAGGATTTCATTATCTTCTTCTCAATGTGAGAGAGTATTTACACTAAGATGTAATGACTTACTTGCACAAAAGTATTTCATCTATATGGAACAGAGCTTTACTTCATAAAAATACAATTTCTTTGGTTGGATAATTATTGTCAGTAAACTGACCATATCCAATTCTGTTGTTAACTTTTGCTGTTCAATAATTTTACTTATGTCTGACTTTTTACAATCCCAAGTGGGGTTCTCTTGCAAAGATACTGGTTTCCCATTTACATCTCTGGCTTATTTTACAGATGAGAAAACTGAGGCAAATGGTTAGGTGACTTGCTCAGGGTCACACAGCTAGTAAGAGTCTGAGGCCAGATTTGAACTCAGGAAGATGAATCTTCCTGACTTCAGGTCCAGCGCTCTAGCTATTGTGCCACCTAACGGCCCCTTTGATCTCACCTAGTTATGAATAAATCTCACGGACCTGATAAAAATATAGAAAGGCTTGTATGTGTCTATATGTGAGGGCTCATACTTGTACATCTGTCTGTTTATATACTTATCAGCAAATACTTGGATTGACCTGGTTTGGGAGAATCCTTGAAGTGTATTAGAATTATTATCTATGATTTGAGATCAGCAGAACAAAAAAAAGTTTCTATCCCAGAGAACAGCATTTTGCTGCCTTATTCTGCTTTTCAATATAATAATAATACCAATAATAACCTAGCATTTACATAGCACCTTAAGGTTTGCAAAGCCTTTTACAAATATAATTTCATTTGATTGTTGCAACAACCTTGGAATGTAGGTGCTATTATTATCTTCCCTTGCAGATGGCAAAAATGAGGCAGTCAGAGGCTAGGTGACTTGTACAGGGTCACATAGCTGATAGGTAAGTGCCTGTCTAAGACCAGATGTGAATTCAACTAATTTTTTCCTAACTCTGAGTTCAGTACTCTAGCCACTGTGCAACCCAGCTGCCCCTTGGATCTTTCATAGAGCTTTGGACTACTATTTAACTTTTACTGTATTTTAATTGCCAGTGTTCCATGAAGTCAAGTCAACGAGCATTTGTTCATGATGTGTTAGGCTCTGTGCTAAATGCTAGGGATTCAAAGGAAGAAAAGTCTCTGTCCTCAAGGAGCACACAGTCCAATGGGGTGAGATGACTTGTAAATAGCTATGAGCATATAAGATAGAGCCATGATAAATTGGAGATTATCTTGGAGGGAAGGCATTAAGGGAGATTAGGAAAGACTTCTTGCATAAGGTGGGAAGTTAACTGGGACTTGAAGGAAGTCTGCTGAGCCAGGAGATGGAGATAAGGAGGGAGAACTTTTCAGGCATGGTTTACAGCCAGCATAAATATAGATGGGGTGCATCATACAAGGAATATAGGTGACTCAATGGACACAGTGCCAGGCCTGGAGTTGGGAAGACCTGAATTTAAATCTGGCCTCAGATACTTACTAGCTGTGTGACCTTGATCAAGTCACTTAACCCTGCTTGCCTCAGTTTCCTCATCTGTAAAATGAGCTGGAGAAGGAAATGGCAAACCACCCCAGTATCTCTGCCAAGAAAACCTCCCAAAGAGGGGTCATAAAGAGTTGGACACAACTGAAAAATGACTGAACAACAGTATGGAAAATAGGTGTTCTCATCTGCTTTGTTTTTCTGGTATACATAATTGGGCAGGCTCTGTTAAGAGCTCATAGATCTCATTTTGGAGGATCTGCAGCGTCATCTGAAAATAGAAGCTTTTGGAAGATCCTTCCGTCTCTAGGAAACTTTCTTTCATTCAGACTCTGCTCTGGATAAACATCCTCCAGTGACAGTTCCAAATTATTATTACAGTTAATTGGAGAGATAGATAGAGCAACCAGGAAGTGGGACTGCTCGTGTGGAGAGAATGAGGGGTAATTCATGGACAGCCAATGGGTTACCACTTTTAGCCTTATAACATCAAAAGAACTAGGAGAAGGCCTATGGCACATTGTGTGGCCTCTTTGTAGAGGATTCTATCAGTGACTATGATAAAGGGTTACATAGCATGAGAGGATATAGATGGATATATCACAAGATGTGCTGTTGAAGGGAATACCTAACCAGATGGTATCAGAGATCCACTGAAGTAGTGATGTAGGCATTTTTCTTTTCACAATGTCAAACAAAACATGGATGTTTGTGTTATTCCACCTTCTTCCCTTTCCCACCCCAGTGATAGAACTTCCAACCCTACCTGTCCCAAAATAAGATCCCATAAGTCATCTTCACTCTAGATAGCTCTGTCGAGACCCTGTTCTATATCAAAGATAGAATTCATTTCAAATTATAACAAGCTATTCTCCATCTAATCTTGAATAATCTAAAAATGTTTTGCTTAAGGAAATGAAAGAGGAGATTTGAAAGCACTTACAATGAGTGGGCCTCTGTTATTTTCACGATACTTGTTCTGGAAGAAAATGTAAACGACGGTGGCGGCTAGCGAATAGAGAAAGGCGAACACTGCAATGGTGACGAAGAATTCTGCTGATGATGAGAAGTCGCCTATCAAGGCAAGCTTCTCCCGCCGTTTTCCTTCACAGGTGGGCACCTCAAAAGTCACCTGATGCAACCTAAAAGAAGATATTTGAGGAGGAAAGATCAATAGCACTGTCAGTAGAGAAACAGATTGTGTTCAGCAACCTTAAATTCAAAACAAGACGGAGATTATGCAGACTTATATCCTAGGCATGACAGGCCTGTTCCTCTGGAAATAATATGTTAAAAAGTGGGTGGGGGGAACTCTCCACTGTTGTAGCATTTCCTCAACGAGGCTCAGTCCTAACCAGTCACCATTCAGAGAGCTAAGCATCAGAAATTCTTAGAAATGAACTAATTGGATTCTTTTTCTAGTTATTCAGCTACTAAAGAGCAGCCCTGGGATTTAATAGTGCTTAGAACATAGTAAGCACTTTATAAATGTTCTTTTTTCCCCTCATTGAATTCTCTTTTCTGCTTATTTATTTAATCATTAATACAATTTAAATATAATTTAAATGCAATATAATTTAAATTCAGGTCCTCCTGACTTTAGGTCTGGTTCTTTGTCTACTGTCACCTATATTCCTTGTATAATACACCCCATCTTTTGATGTGATCATTGACTTTAATTCAACAAATAATTAAAAGGTGCCTACTATGTTCCAGACATTGTGTTAGGTACTAAGGATATGAAAATAAAATTAGTCCCTGCCCTCAAAGAGCTTATATTCTATTGGGGCATACAACATGTTCGCCTATAAGTAAATATAAAATTTATGCATGGTGGTTGCAAGAAGTGGTAGGAGATAGGTGGAGAGGACTAACCCCTAGGCATCTGGCTGTTTCATTTTTGTCTTTATATGCTCAGTGCCTAGCACATAGTATGCACTTCAATTCTTTTTTTTTTTATTAATTTATTTTGATTTATCAACAATCACTTCCATATGCTTTTGAGTTGAAAATTTTTCTCCCCCTTCCTCCCCCCCACCCTCCCCAAGAGGGCACACAATCTGATGTAGGCTTTACATTTACATTCCCATTAAACATATTTTCACATTAGTGAAGTTGTAAGTAAAAATTAAAACCAACAGGAGGAACCATCAGACAGATGAAACAAAACTCAACAGAAGGTAAAAATAAGTGATAGCGATTCAACTTCCATAGTTCTTTCTTTGGATGTGGACAGCATTTTCCATCCCGAGGCCTCTGGAGATGTCTTAGATCCTCATAATGCTGAGAAGGGTTCAGTTTAACAATCTTAGTCACTGCATAACGTGGCTGTTATTGTGTACAATGTCCTCTTGGTTCTGCTCACTTCACTCAGCATCAGACCATATAAGTCTTTCCAGGTTTTTCTGAAGTCAGTCTGTTCATCATTTCTTATAGAACAATAGTATTCCATTACATTCATATACCACAACTTGCTCAGCCGTTCCCCAAAGGATGGGCATCCTCTCAATTTCCAATTCTTTGCCACCACAAAAAGAGCTGCTATGAATATTTTTGTACATGTGGGTCCTTTTCCCATTTGTTTGATCTCTTTGGGATACAGCCCTAGATATGCACTTCAATTCTTGTCAAATTGATTTGAATCCTGAAAGGACTCCTGTGGGAGGTGGCTTGGGAACTGGGCCTCAAAGCAAGTGAGGGATTCCAAAAGGTAGAGGTGAGGAGGAAGTTTGTTCCAATAATGGAGGGAAGGGGAAGGCAGATTCTATACAGGCATGGGGGTGGCAGATGGAATGTTGGTCATGAGGAAAGGCAAGTTGTCTTTTGGCCAAAAAGGAGATGAGTGAGGGAAATGTCTCCATGATGAAGTATAATTTAATACATCACTCATTTTCTCCCTGTGAGAAATGAAGCTACTTCCTGAGAGTAAGGCACTTAAAAATGGGCATCCATGAGACCTGTGCCAACCAACAGAGTCCAGTTTGGTAAGCTGTCATAAAGCACTCATGGTACAAAAAGGCTTTGGCATCTTCCTATTTCCCAACTTTCTCCACCTCCCACCCCCAAGCACTTATGTGCCACTCAGCTTTGGATTCATTTGAAAAGACACATTGTCCACGGTCCCAGTTCTCCAATTAGGCAAGTCCCTCATATGCTAGCATCCTGACAGCTGTGCTTGTCCAAATTCAAATCAAATGCAATGTGTAGGCTCAGGCAATCATTTTAATGCTTGGCAATATATACATAGCTATCCAGGATATATCAGAACCCTGAACCCACTTTGGTTTCAAAAGCAATTGTTTTTTGTCATGACTTATGCAGATAATTGTCTCACTTGTCTATTTGACTTAGCCTGTGGGAGCATAGCCTTAGTCATAGGTAGAGAAGTGCCTTTTTTTTTGTTTGACACATTGAGTGGGGGGAAATTTCAACCTCATTCATGAAAATCAGAGGAAGAGTCACAATTTTATCCCCATGGACCTTAACAGACATAATTTAGAAACCAAATTAACATATTTCTCAATAGTACAGCTGGTCTGCAGGAACTGTTAAAACAAAAATAGATTTCCCATCATAGGCCATGCCAATTGCCTTGACACAGATGGTTTATACATTCTTCCTCGTCCATAGTTTCAGTGCAGTTGTCTTTGTTTATTTTTCATGTGTACCGTCTCACCTGTCATCAACTAGGGCAGCAAAATTCACATAGGTAGCAGTGTACAAGTCTGAGCTGGTAGCCAAGGGCTGTTGACTCCATATCTCATATTCTTTCCATTGTTCTGCACTACCTCCCGAAAAATGTTTCATAGTTGGTATGCAAACTAATTTAAAAGTGCTGTGACGTGCCTCAGGATGAGTGGTGCTGCCTAAATATCAGGCATTTCGATCATGTAATGGACAAAAACTGTTTCTGAAATATTTGTATATTGTTGAGAGAGAGAGAAAAAAATATCCTAATTATTCCTTTTATACAATCAGCATAGATGCATACTTTCCTTCCATGTTGTTAACTGCTGGGGTTGATTTGCAAGAAATGTGATTGCACTAATCAGCATGAGGCAAAGAGATCCCCAAATCAACTGTTGTGTTCATTAATATTGAGTTAAGAAGCACAACACTTAGCCCACCAGTTACACCCAGGCAGGATGTGCTTTTGAAGAGGAACAGGAGGTGAGATCTCAAAAAAAAATATGCAATTTGAGTTAGTCCCAACTCCCCAGGATAAAGAAGCATGAAATACTAGACAAGACTGTACATGAGGAAAGTTTGGTTGAATGAGTATGTGAGGGTAGGACCCTTCTCAGAGGACAGTTCTATGAAAACTTAGTGAAAGCAGTTCTTAGGGGAAGTTTTGTTTCCTCTTATGGGAAGTAAGTGCTTACATGAATAAAAAAGAGAAAGAAGAGATCAGTGAATTGGGCATACAACTAAAAAAGCTAAAAAAAGTGCAAATTAAAGATCTCCAACTAAATATCAAATTAGAAATTCTGAAAACCAAAGGAGAGATTAATAAGATTGAAATTAAGAAAACTATTGAACCAATAAATAAAACTAAGAGCTGGCTTTATGAAAAACAAATCAATTAGATAAACCTTTGGTTAATTTGATTTAACAAAAAGAAAGAACAAAACCAATTCACCACCAATGAAGAGTAAATCAAAACAATAATTAGGAGCTATTTTGCCTAACTGTATGCCAATAAATTTGACAATCTTAGTGAAATGGATGAATATTTACAAAAATATAAGCTGCCCAGATTAATGGAAGAGGAAATAAAATACTTAAATAATCTCATTTCAGAAGAGGACGGTTCTATGACAAATGTAGTTGGTAACTACAAGAGGTGGTAACTCATCTGTCTGTCTGAGTCCCAGCCTTAAATTCTATGGAATTGGTAGAAAGGTGGGACCCTCAGTAGCCATGGATATAGGAGGCTTGGATAGTGGCTGAGAGCAAGGTCTCTGGAAGACCACAGAGACAAGGTTCATTGAGGGTAGTTACCAGAAAGTAAGCATCTCTCCCCCGTCCACCTTCTCTCTCTTCATACACATATTGGATGTTGGCATCCTGGGGCAAAGGCCTATTGGCTCTGGTCTAATAAATGGTCTGGTTAATTTATTTTTGAAAGGAAAATGTGGATTCTAAGCAGATGCAGGTCAGGGGAATACTATATTACTATCATTGGTATCATGGAGGTTGAAATTCTAAAACTGACATCCAAAACATAGAACAGAATTCCTGTGTTTTAGTCAAGCAAGAGACCTCAGAGATTGTCTGCTCTAAACTCTCTCTTTATACAATTGAGTAAACTGAGGTACAGAGAAGGGAAACTCAATTTAATTCAATAATTTAACATAGTTATTACGCACTTACATAAACACTAGGGATATTAAGACTATTAAAGGAACTGAGGATGTTTAGCCTGGAGAAGAAAAGACTTTCCCCACAAATGAAATAGTCAGCCTCTAGGATGAATGGTTTTCCCTTCCCTTGAGGTTTTCAAGCAAGGATGAGATGCCCATTTGTCAGGTTCGATCTAGAGGGGATTCTTGCTCAAGTATGAGATAATGAGTTGAGCTATGAGGCCCCTCCTTGCTCTGACATTATGAGACAAAAGTGAAAGTCACTGCCCTTGGGGAGCTTACATTCTTCTGAAACTTCCAGCTCCAACTCTAACCCTGAATTCATACTGAAGGGATTTTCCCAAGAACCCACAGCTAATTACTAATTATCAATCAGGACCAGAACCAAGACCTCTTGACCCTCAGTAGTCTGTCTGTCTGTCTGTTTGTCTGTCTGTCTTTAGAAACAAATGAAACCCCTCCCCTCTTAAGCAAAAAGTAATTAGTTTGGGGCCAGTTTTTATAGTCAGCTAGTACTTGGCAATTCTAGACTTTAGAATCAAGGATTGCTCATTTCAAACAAACAAGGAAAGAAAACATTCTCTTCAGGGGGATCCTGCCAGCCAGTATGCAAATGGAAACTCGGAAACAAATTAGACAACATCTGACAATCCTCATCTGAGGGAAAAGGTGAGAAGCAGTTGCTGAGGCTACAGAAGTGACCCCATTTGATATGCTGATTTGGAATGTCTGATTAGAAGCTTAGCTAGATTGAAACAATTGGAGTGGAATGGAATCTT